TACAAACTGACCATCAATGCATGTCTGAATCAGGACAGGCAGTGTGATTGCATTTGGAGAAAATGGGTGCAGCCCTTCCATGTACTCAGACACTGCAGTCTTGAAGCAACTCGCTGTGAGATGACTTTCACAAAGAGAACATCAGTGCAGAAAATGTGCACCTCCACTGCCATATCATTACCCTGAGCTTACGCAGCACCCATGTTTTCCATTGCCTCTGACCTGTGGTTCTTGTGTTTTTTTTAAAGCATGGAGAAGACACGCAGTGCCTATTGAAGAAGGTAACTAAGCTTGGTCTTTCATGGTGCTGAATCATCTTCCCTGCTTTGATCCCCGTTCCTGGCACTTCCCCTCCTGCAAGTGATGCTGCTGGGAGCAGGCATGCTTCTGCTGACCCTCCCTTGAATTTGGTGCATGTCCCACTTTCAGGCAAATCTGGAGAATCCTTGTCCTCAGGGAGCTGTGTGCAATTCTTCATCCTGGAGGTCTGCTGATGATCCTCTTCCCTCTCTGCTCACTCTGTTCTCTCTGCTTCATTTTCTCTTCCTTGCACTCGAGTTGTTACCTTGTGCACCTTCACATGCCACAGTCTGCCAGCTCTCACTCCCACCCTGCCTCTTCCTTGGGCAGCCCCAGCAAAGATCTGTCCTGGGGTGAGCTCTGCACTGATGTGCTGATTCCATCTCTCCTGCAGGGAACGTGGTTCTGGATCCAGACACAGCCCACTGTGAGCTTGTCGTGTCTGACAATGGCAAAAGTGTGACACGAGGTGACCCACGAGAGGACATCCCTTACACCCCCAACAGATTTGATGTGTGGCGCTGCGTTCTGGGCCGTGACGGCTTCACCTCGGGGAGACACTACTGGGATGTGGAGGTGGCAAATGTAGGAGAATGGAGCGTGGGAATTTTTAGAGAAAATGTGGAAAGGAAGGGTGATATTGAGCTTAAACCAGAGAAAGGCATCTGGGCAGTGGGGAAACAGGCACCAGTCTTGAAAGCTTTCACCTCCCCTCATCCTATTTTCTTTCCTATAA